TTAGGTCTTGCAGGACTGCACTGCATATATTTCAATTTTTTCCAAATTTTGGGCTTTTTGGGGGGGGTAACGGATGTTTTTTCCCCACAGTTTCAAAATTTCTGGAAATTTTACTTCTCCTGAGTCAGGTGAACACTTTTTGCAGCACATTTGAATGAATACTGTGGAAGAAGTAATTTCTTCTTGAACAAAGAACAAGATTATACTATGCAAATTATACAGGTTTACTATTCCCATTACACTTGCAGAAATTCACTAATTACACAGCAGATGGCACTAGCTATCCAGACAATGAATCGGTCAACATACATGTGGGATTAGGAAAGTAGCTGAACATTGTTCACAGAGTACCCACATTTAGATAATAACACTTTAGTATTTTTATGCGCTTTGGAGGATATCTAAACTGACTAATACTCTCATGAAAAGTCTCAATACCTGAGAACAAAGAACATGGCTGGAGAGTCAACATATGATCCAAACTCTAGCATATTCCAACTCAAAAATAACATTGGTTCTATTCTGTGGGGAGCTGCACTGTGCCTAACATTGTAACATCAGGGACATAACAGTTTGGTAAGATCGTAATAATAAACTTGAACTTTGGTAAGAACTATTCTAATGCAACCTAACAATTACGTGTTCAACCCACAGATGCACAGAACCTCACTTGAGAAATATTTTATTCTTAGTGTTTGCCCTTGAAATGGTTCACATATATTTTTTTTCTGACCAAGAACTTTAACATTCAACTAGAAACTTCACTTAAAATGAATTTCAGTGACAGCTCTACTAAGACTGGAGCCCTGAAGATAATTTGAAGTGAATATCCTACCTCATTTTCACTCTTTGGTTATAATGCATAGAGAAATGGCTCTACAACTTTTTTCCTCTTAGGACATAGTTACCTGCACATTAGTAAACAATGTCCCCAAAGCACTACAACATACAGTTTTAGTTCTATAAACAAAAAAGTACCTAAGGGTCAAAACCATTGTATTGGGGTACAAAATGACCCACTGTTTGTTTGTCTTTTAAAATGCATTTATTTATAAGTTTTGTTATTTACAAAAGAAAAGAAAAAACAAATTGATATATATAGTTCATTCTTTGAAGTTTACATTAAATATTCTTTCCAAACCATTTATACACCCTATACCATCTTTTTTTTAAGTTCTTGTATCTTTCCCTTACAATATCGTGTTCAGTTTGTCCATTTCTGCAATTTCATATATTTTTGTAACCAACTCATCCCTTGCGGGCAGTTTTTCAGATTTCCAACATTTGGCTATAAGTATTCTTGCTGCAGTGAGAATATATGTCAAAATACATGTGTCATCGCATCCATAACCATCTGGTATTATATTTAATAGGTAGATTTCCGGTAACAGTTGTAAATGTATATCCATAATCTCTATTATTAACCGGTTAATACATTTCCAGAATTTGCAAATATTTTCACACCTCCACCAAATATGGGAAAATGTGCCTATATAATTTTTACATCTCCAACAATTTCTTGATACCTCTTTATAACATTTAGTCATTCTGTCTGGTGACCAGTGCCATCTATAAAACATTTTAAGAATATTTTCTTTAAATGATGTTGATCTTAACTGTTAAGATTTATATACTACTGTTGTTTTTTATACTACAAAAATGCTAATCCAGGAAAACAGTTTAAGTGCTCATCTGGAGCTCTCCCCCACACACAAACAGATAACCCTTCCTGATAACCTGAAGAACATTTACCTCAATATACAGAGAGTTGTTCTTGCGGTAAAAAAATACCCAAGATACAAACAGCATTAGAAATTATTTATTTCAGAGTTTAAATTTTCCTTTAAAATGTTTGAAAGTTTGTTAGCTTTCCAGTAGTAGTTTAAGTTCAAAGCATAGTTTTGGATGTTTCAAACTGGGGAAAAAATAGCTTTACAAAGGAACAGTACTGGTATTTCATTTGCGAAAGAAGAGAGGTGAATCTATTCAAAAGAAACATTCCACCTCATGTGAAAATATATGATCAAGCTCTGAGTGTTCGGCTACTGTGAAACACAATGGTTTCTACCATTTTTTAACCACAAGATACATTATGAATTTGGCTTGGAAATATGCACTAGAATACAATTTATGTAAATTCCCCCCCCCCACAGATTTGAGAGGGGGTTAGTCCAGTCAAATGCCTTCAGGAAATGCACAAGCAAAACATGAAGGCAATAGCCCTTTGTCATTGTTTAATCCCAGAAACAGGTATAAAGTTGCCTCTAAATCAGGAAGTTCCATTTTGTTTAATCCCAGAAACAGGTATAAAGTCGTCTCTAAATCAGGAAGTTCCATTTAACCATCATGATTAATAGAACAATCATGGTTAACCAAACTATCCTCCAGGAATATATTTCATCCCATTCTAAATCCTAAAATAACATCCATCATCCCATCTTGTGGTGGTGGGAGAAAGTGCTATCAAGTCACAGCTTACTTATGGCAACACTGTAGGGTTTTCAAGGCAAGAGACATTCAAAGGTGGTTTGCCATTACCTGCCTCCGTGTCATGATCCTGGTATTCCATGGAGGTCTCTTTTCCAAATACTGACCAGGGCCAACTCTGCTTAGCTTCCGAGATCTGACGAGATTGGGCTAGTCTGGGCTATCCAGGTCAGGGCTCATCATGTAGTAGCAAACTCCAAAAACTAATTGTCTGTCTCGAATGTACTGCCAGCTGATGGGTGCTTCAAAGTTCTAATGGTATGGGAGAAGGAATCCTCTCTTCTCTCCAGACTATTCTCATGTGCCCCTTTAACCATCTTTTTTCCAAATCTAAAAATCCACAAATGGTTTAGGGGACCACTCAGATTATTTCCCACTCTTATGTGAATGCCTGTTCATTCTTATTCTCAGGCTCTTTTTTCTTAATCACTTTCTGAGTCATAAGAGGACCTGAACTCTTATCCTATGATAAGCTCTGCATTTACTCAGGAGCCTTTGCTAAATGACTTTTTGAATATACTAGAAAAATTGTTTCCTTTCCTAGTATATACTTGCATTCTCTCTTATATAATACATACAAAGTAATAATAAACATGATTTTTTATTAATTATATAGTCGGTGTACCCCAAAACCATTTACAGATACATGTGTGTATGTGCATATGTACATACACACATACAAACCAACAAAAGTGGGGACCTGAAAAGTGCATGTAATCTTCCCTCCCCCACTATTTCTTCATTCCTTTTCCTGAAAGTCTCTGTAGCCTTTCCTTTTTTCCTGGTCCTTCTCTCCTGGGAAGGAAGCAGATGTGGTGTCTTGAAGCCCTGAGACGGGAGTAGACTTGGTGGCTCGAAAGCCTTGAAAAGTAGTTAGACCTGGTGGCTCAAAAGCCCTAAGACATTTTTAGATGTGGTGACTCAAAGCCCTGAGAAGGACATAGGTGTGGTGGCTCAAAAGCCCTGAGCCTTCCCTCCTTCCCTCCACCTTGCAGCCACAGTCTGGAAAAATTATGACCCAGTTGCATGGTTTGATTTTAGATTGTTCTGTAAACCTGGGGCATTTCTCAGGTTTGCTGAATCATCTGTCTTGTCTATCCATAGCTCCAATCTCTGTATTTAAGTATCTACCAATCTGGCCATGCTTAGACTTGGCTATAGATGATTTTGTGCACATGTGCAAATAAATCAAATAATATTTCTGCCAGCTTTGAATACTGACACTAGGATGCAAAGCATAGCACAACTATTACCAAGTAACCATAGTGTCTTTGGAATGATGCTTCTTGAACAGCAGGCTCCTCCATCTCTCCTGCATGGCAAACAACGAATAGCACTATGTGGAATGTTAAAAAAACCTGTCAAAAGGCACACAAATCCCTTGGAGAGGCCTAAAGTAGCTCTTTAGACCATAGCCTAAAGTAGCTCAACCGATGTTACCTTAGTTTTACCTTAGTTTTTTCCAAATTGGCTTCTTCAGTCATGTGTACAGCTTGCTTCACTTGTTCATAAGCACTATATTCCCTTTGCTGCATTTCATTTAGGTTTCTTCTTAGTGATGCCAGTGCTGCCATTAATTCATCCCTCTCTCTGCCAAGTAAAAAAAGGAAAAGTGCAGGACATTAACAAACTGGAAAAATGAAAAGCACATCACCAGAACTAATACCAGTTTTTAAAGTTTATGTTCCAAGTTCAGCAAATAACTCCAAGTGAAGATCAGAGACATGGCAGTAGTAACAAGAATATCATAACTTATGCAGCTTGGACAGCACCTTATCAGTACATACAAACAATAAATACAGCCAAGCAAAAACACTTAAAAAGTGAAAACCACCTAGGAAAACCATGTGACAACATAGAATTATTACAAGAAGGGCACCCACAAGGAACTTGAGGGGGTGAAAAAATCCCGTCTCCATTTCCTTACCCCTCCAACTTTCCAATATTGTTGCCTCCCCCACACCTTTTCTCTTCCCACCATTACCTCCTCCTCCCCTCTTCCTTTGGCTGATCTTTATCCTTCTTTTTAAATGCTCACTGGTATGGAGTTGCTAGGCAACCTAAAATGCCAATCAGTTTGCTTTTTAAAAAGTTTAACAAACCCCCCAATATTTTTAAAATTTTTGGAGATTTTTCTGGAAAACTGAAGTATCCCTTTTCTAAACTGGGACCCATTGTGCCAATTTTTGATCCACACAGTGGGGGCAGATTCAGAATAAGATATCCAGTAGCAGTGATTAAAAAATGAATATCATTAGTAGGGGTGTGTGCTCAGTATATACTGAGCCAATTAAATACCTGTAAAATAACTTATCAGTATTTTTCGGTTATTTATTCAGTCGAATAAAGATCAGAGATCTGTATTTGGCTACCAAAGTAGCTGCCCCAATAAAAGCTGATATTATTTAGCTTTTATTTGGGCTTGGCTACTTGCAGAGTCAGTGTGGTCACTGCCGTATGACTTCCCAGCAACGTGAAGATATTTAAACTTTAAATACCTTCCCTCTTCTCTTGAACTCATACTGCCTCTGCAGTGTGACACCTGAGAGGAAAGGGAAGGTATTTAAACTTTAAATTAAATTAAACAACACTCCAAAGAAGGTGCCCCCAGGAAAGTGCTTTCTGGGGAAATGAGGAACAGGTTCATGAGTGTAATGAATGACCCCCCCCCTGGTGTGCTAGAGACACCAAACTCACAGTGCATCTCCAGCTGACTCTCCTCTACCTGCCCTCCAAGTTTGGTGAAGATTGGGTTTACAGGGTTCAAGTTATGCCCGCCCTAAAGAAGGTGCCCCCATACTCCATTGTTTCCAATGGAGGGGGAAAACAGCAAGAAAAGCAAGGGCAGAAGCCCAGCAGGGCAGAATCAAAGTCCCTGAGAATCCCTCCAGTAGAAACTGAGGCTAGATGAAATAACTGTGTCGTAATAGGTGATTTGAACTACCCACATGTTGACTGGGTCAATATGTGTTCAAGTTGGGAAAAAGAGATTGAGTTTCTAGACACTCTCAATGACTGTGCTAAGGAGCAGATGGTCACAGAACCTACCAGGGGAGAGGGAATCCTGGATTTGGTCCTAAGTAACACCCAAGATCTGGTGAGAGATGTAAAAGTGATTACACCGCTTGGGAACAGTGACCA